ATGAAGAAAGACAGTCCAGAGACTTTACATCCTGGGAAGTGAATTAGGTGGGCCAAAAATCCATACTAACTAACCTATCAGTTAGAACAGTGACTATGGATAAGAAATTTAACAACTTCAATGTTTAAATAAATCCTTGATTTCTAGCTTTTGCTTAGGATACAGTAAACTGGAAAGAGCTACCCCATTCTTTGGGGGATGGGGATAATTTACAAAATCACAACTTTTCTTGAATACATCAAAGTGCCAAGGTTGGAGATCAACCAACCAATCTGAAAAATAAGAAAAGGCAATGTCCTCCAAGCAGCTGCATGAGGCAAGCACTTGCTCACCTGGGGTAGATGCTAGACACCATGTAAGATGGCAGGAAAAACTCAGTTAAAATGTTGAACAAATTGCCAAATCAGTGGTTGCCTGGTGCTGATGGTGGGCAGAGGAGCTGACTACAAAAGGAAGGAATGGAGATCTGGGGGAAGGAATGGGAGTTCCACATCCTAACTAGGGTGCTCACATGATCATACACATTTGTTAAAACTCACAGAACTCCAAAAAGGTAAAAAACAACTGTAAACAATGAATTTACTGTATGTGAAATTAAAAAAAGAACTCTTGTTTTAGAAGGAAGAGGATCTATTTGACAATTAACCCATGATCTCTGCTATGTGGCCAATTCTCCACGTAACTGTCTTGGTACTTGAAATGCATAAGCCCCCAAGGCCTGCGCAAATCAGCACTTTAAGAAACCACCATCAGAGTATGTGATCTTCCCAAATTCACTAATGTGCAAATGTAAATGCTCACTTTCCAACTCTTCATAAGGGTTCCTGGGTAAGCCACCACCAAGCGGGGAAAGACAAAGCCACATTGAGCTTGAATACTGGGCAACAGGCTTGCTTTACCTACTGCCTCACCACCACGCCGGGTAGCAGTTCAGGTAGCTTAAATTCACAACTCAGCCGAATGCCAAATCATATAGGTCACAGACCTTTGGGGTCACTTGCAGAAGAAGAAAACCCAATCATCAAACCTGCAAATGCCTTCTGTTAAAAAACAACCTTCAAACAATTTAAAAGGGAGAGCAATGCAAGTCTGCTGCAGCTGCAGGTGCCATGACGAGCATGTAGAAAGCTGTCCTGCCTAGACATAAGTGCTAGGTCACGTCACGACTGGCCAGAGAACATCACAATCTCAGCGGCCGCCCTGTAAGAAGTATCACCAATCTTTAAAAGTCTTATTTATGAAAGTCTTATTTTATGAAAAAAAAAGTCTACACAGGATCTACCTCATTAGGATTTCAGTAAAAAGAGGATAATGCCATAAGGAAAATAAAATTTTCCCTCTCTTTAAGGTAGAGATGAAAGATCAATGTAAAAAAATAAGTCACAGCAATGTGTTTAACCACTTCACTGACTTCAGAACAATGAGCCTCAATACCCAATAGTATATACCACCTCTTGCTCTATTAAGAAATTATTTAGTCCCTGGACTTTATCCCTTCTAACAGTTTTGCTCTAGAATTTCATCGTAATTCCCAGGGAAAGGTTTACTTTATATATAATCTTCCAGGATAAACTTAATAAAGGGACAATTTAGATTGTTGGAATTCTTTAATTATTGTACTAAAATGACAGTAAGAACTCAACTTACCTTAAGGCTTTCACTTTAGCTAGACATTAGTAAAATGATGATTACAAATAACAAGTAGCTAAACTTAGGGTTTTTTAAAATTCTGTTGATGTACATAATTAAACAGAACATGCAAACTCACCTGTGTTTCCTTTGGATCAGTCGTTCTTAATAACTGATACTTATCAAAATCAACTGTGGTGATTTTCCAAAATATACAAACCTAGTACCTCTCCCAGACCTACAGAATCATATCCTCCATGGGGAGGCTCAACACTAATATCTGAAAACGTCCCTGTGATGTTTATGCACACGCATCCCTGACTATGATCACCATTCCATGTAACAGTCACTACATTTGAAAAGAATTACAGGCACCCATCACTTTATTGTGCTTTGCTTACTGTGTTTCACAGCTATTGTGTTATTAATATTTACAAATTGAAGGTTTGTAGCAACCCTGCATAGAGTGAGTCTATGAGCACCATTTTTCCAACAGCATGTGCTCACTTTGTGTCTCTGGGTCACATTTTGGTAATTCTTGCAGTATTTCAAACTTTTTCATTACTATTATGTCTGTTAGAGTAATCTGTGCCCTTTGCTGTCACTATGTAACTGTTTTGGGGTGCCACAAACTGTGCCCATATAAGACAGTGAACCTAAGTGACAAAAATGTGTGCTCTGACTTCCCACCAACGGGCCATTCCCATCTCTCTCCCTGTTCCCTGAGACATGAGAGTAAAGCTGAGACAGGCTGAAAGCTGGGCCTCTTGTGCCAAACCACCAAGCTGTCAATGCAAAGGGAAAGTTCTTGAAGGAAATTAAAAGTGCTATTCCAGTGAAGACACAGATGATAAAGCAAAGAAGTCTTACTGCTGATATGAAGAAAGTTTTAGTGATCTCGAAAGAAGATCAAACCAGCCACAACATTTCCTTAAGCCAAAGCCTAACCCAGAGCAAGGCCTTTACTCTCTTCAATCCTTTGAAGGCTGAGAGAGGTAAGGAAGCCGCAAAAGACAAGTTGGAAGCAAGGCTGGTTCATGAGTTGGAAGGAAAGACGCCATCCCCATAACATAATAGTGCAAGCTGAAGCAGCAAGTGCTGATGTAGAAGCTGCAGCAAGTTATCCAGAAGACCTAGCTGAGATCATTGATGAAGGTGTCTAACTGAACAACAGGTTTTCAATGTAGATGAAACAGCCTTCCAATGGAAGAAGATGCCATCTAGGACTTGCATATCTAGAGAGGAGAAGTCAACACCTGGCTTCAAAAGCATCAAAGGACAGACAGACTCTCTTGTAAGGGGCTAATGCAGCTGGTCCCTGAAGTTAAGCCAATGCTCATTTACCACTCCAAAAAATGTAGGGCCCTTAGGAATGATGCTAAATCTACTCTGCCTGTGCTCTATAAATGAAACAACAAAGCCTGGATGACAGCACATCTCTTTATGGCATGATTTACTATATATTTTAAGTCTACTGTCGAGACCTACTGCTCAGAAAAAGTTTCCTTTCAAATGCTACTGCTCATTAACAATGCACCACCTGGTCACGCAAGAGCTCTGATGGAGAGGTACAAGGAGGTTAATGTTGTTTTCATGCTGTTAACACATTCATTCCACAGCCTGTGGATCAAGGAGTCATTTCAACTTTCAAGTCTTATTTAAGAGAGACATTTCATGAGGCTATAGCTGCCATAGATAATGATTCCCCTGATCAATCTTTACAAAGTAAATTGCAAACCTGCTAGGCTGGGCGCGGTGGCTCAGGCCTATAATCCCAGCACTCTGGGAGGCTGAGGCGGGGGGATCACTTGAGCTCAGCAGTTGGAGACCAGCCTGACCAACAGTGAGACCTCGTCTCTACTAAAAATAGAAAAAATTAGCTGGCCATGGTGGTGAGCACCTGTAGTTCCAGCTACTCAGGAGGCTGAGGCAGGAGGATCACTTGAGCCCAGGAGTTTGAGGTTGCTGTGAGCTAGACCGATGCCATGGCACTCTAGCCTGGGCAACAGAGTGGGACTCTATCACAAAAAA